AATTGCAAACCAATGCACCTCTGTCTCTGCTACCTGGTCAGTGTTGGGAAAATGCAGGTAAATCCTGATAGAAAAGGGTTGCTTATGCGTCTTTGTGTTATAAAATGCCTGCACCCCTCTAAATCAGGAAGCACTCAAAAAAAAATTCCAAGCCAGGTTACTGTTTGGCATGTGCTGTTACTTTAAGAAGTGGGACCTGATGGCTTCCGCAAGAAGCTGCTAGGGCTATTGTTTTGCTGATCAGTAAGAACTGGTAAGACTGCCAGGTTAACAGCATTGCACTCACCCTCATTTGCATACCAAGACTCACAATAATTCTGTGATGGTTCTGTTAATATCCTGCAATCAAATTCCATTGTATTGCGCCCCCTCTGCAGACCTCTCACCTTCTTCTGACTGTGTTCACCTTGTTTCATCATCAACTGCCCAACTGCTGAGCCCATGTGACTCAGAATCTATAAAACACTCTGTGTATGTTCTAAAAACTTGTAGTTGGCAGTGGAGACCACTACCCAGTAGCATGCTATCATAGCTAACTCCTGGGGGCCTGGATGATCTCCCCGATAAAAATGCTGGGGTTCAAGGCAATTTTATTCTCCCTGTCACTCCTGGTAATTCATTCTCGCCATTAGTAAGGAGGCTCTGACATCGGCAAAGGTATAAAAGGCGACTATACGAATGTTCTGGGTTGATTGACCTTTTCCTTGTGATGGAGCTTTTCCTGAGAATAGAATCCACATTTCCCCCAGTCACTCTTGACATGCTTGATTGGCCAGCATGCCAAGACTGAACCCCTTGTCTCCTCTACTAAACAGCACAGCATTCCTTTTGCCATGCTCTCCACCACTTATTCTCACACTTCTTCTTCTTCCATTGTTTTTTTCTCTCATCACAGCTCCTGCCTCATGAGAGCTGGGCTGACAGAGTCCAAAAGGGCTGGTTCATCCATTCATCCACCAGTGATCAGATTGCCATGAAAGAATTACGTGCCACAGAATGATACTTGATCCTGATTCTCCAAACCATGTTCCACTACTGCAGGAAGAAGGAGCAGAGCTCAAATCAGCTATGGCTGTTTGGCATTGTCCCTTCTCCAGCCTCTAATGATGTCTGGAGGCTTGGAAAGAGAACAGGAAGGATTTCTTGCCTCTGAGGGAGCAGAACGACGCTCTGCAAGCAGATGTGAAACCCAGGTGGACCATGCTTCATGCAGAAGCTGTGTGGGTTTCAGCACTGGACACAGTCACTTGGGATGAAGCCCACTTGCATGACCCAGGCCATCGCTGGAATCATGGCCTCAGAAATTGGCCTGCTAGTCTAGCACTGAAGCATCACCATGAGAAAGCCATTCTACCAAGGAAACAGCTGGTGCTAACTCTTTGCAAATTTGGTTTCAGTGTCAGGAACCTGACAATAAGTACCACCTGCAGAGTGGGCCTATCCACTGTGTATGAAATCTTCATAGAGATGGTGCATGGGACCCACATGTCTTCCCTTTTAGATGTTAAAAAGGTAGGAATGGAGAGGGGGAAAAGAGAGAGTTTCTGCAAAATGGGCTTTTTGCAGGCACCGTGTTCCATGAATATGAGAATTTTGGTTCCCCAGGCAGTGGGGAGGATGTCTGCAATAAGTAATCTTTTTACAGCATGGTGGTCCAGGCACTTGTAAGCTCTGATTTATAGACATTTATGCTGCATTTTGGAGCGCAGTCATGGCAAAGCTGTTTTCTGTCATTCCCTTTTGGCCCATATGCTCAGAAAAAAAATTAGCATTTCAAGTTGGTGGAATGTGTTTTTTTCAGTGGAGACACACAATAGAAGGACTATCAATCAGCTATGGGCTTGGGGAGATGGAAAGTTTCCATCAGAATAAGAAGGAAAAAACACCCTATGCACGCAATTATTAATAAGTTGCTTGGAAGGAAGGGCTCTTGGGCAGTGAATTCCTTGCCAAGGCACCCTGGATTACGGTGGAAAGGACCCTGGGTCTGAGCAAAAGCATCCCAACAAGCAGAAATGATGACAATTTCCGGAGCTATCGCAGGTTCGTAAATGAGCATGGAACCAACCAGGGTAACCTACTGTGACTCATTGCTGTGATGTGTACCCGCCCCCACCCCCCAAATGATGTGAAAGGGCACTGTGACATGGCATGGCTAGGTCAAGGTTGCATATGAGATAAACCTGCTTTTACAGAAATGATTTCAATTACAAAGTGTTGTTTTCCATTGCCACGGCTGAAGGTTAAAACCCTTGTGAAACTTTCATTTACTCACTATAAATTTTGCCTATTCTTCTGCATCTCTGGAGAGTCTTACTCAAAGAAAAACAAAGGCCTTTTGCTAATGCTGAATGAGAGTAAATGTTACTAACTGTGCCTGAGACAATATGCTTTACACCAGCATTAACAAACACCCAGGAGAACCTGCTTGTTGTTCATTGTTTATTTTGACATCAAAGCTAAGAAATTTTGGACAGATCAAATATCCTGCTGATTTAGTATTTCTTCTAAAACTGTAACATTGTTTTGAAGGTGCAATAAAAAGGATTTTTCTCCTTTTCTTTCATTCAACAAAGTAATACCCTACCAAAACAGAGACATCAATTGTACAATTATAGGCATCAGCAAAAGCAGTATAATTCAACAAATACATTATGGCACATGAACCTCTTAATGAAGGAAAAGCTTTACAATGAAAGGGTGATGAAGTACACAAAAGCTTCATTTTTTAAAAAAGATATATATACACAATAAGGTGGTATAAAGTGGCTTGTTGAGTTTACGATCGGACTAGCATCCTTTTACTGTCAGATGAGCACTTCAAGAAAATTGAGTGCGCCACATGTCATTTATTTATTTATTTATTTTAAGGTGCACAGCAGGACAGCATTCCTACCAGAGACACTTTTGCAGCATGGCAGCATTTGTTTAGGCACATCTGAATGCAAAAACAAAGTTAGATTAGTTACAAAAATCTCTTTAGGACAGTGCAAAATCGTAGTGCCCTTCAACAGGCAATGATCACAAACAGAACAACATTCAGGACAAAAATACATCCATATTTGAATTAAAATGAGAGAGTACAGCTATAAAGAAAAGGCTCTTTGTGTAAAAGGATGTTTTATTTTGGTACCCCAATGTTTATGTCACAATTCCACTCCAACAACATTCTACGAGTTAGGACGGACAGCTGAAAGACACCAAGTTACGACCAGGTCCCGACAGTGCTCACTTCGGGTCTGAAGACTCACTTCACAAAGCCACGACACAGTGGAAAAGAGCTTTCGGGACAGCTGGCTTCAATGCAGAGCGACCGATTGATATGACCGATTCTGCAGAAAATATCTTGAGTGCTCACATCTGGAAAACCCTGCTAACTTAAACATTGGCTTCTAGCTTGGCACTGAAAGTAGTAGCATAAAGAACACATACATAAAGTGAGGGCTCAGGTTCACACCAAAATGTATGGCAAACACTAGCACCAAGATCCAGCAGGAGAGAGCAGAGCGCAGAAGCAGGATTCCACGTGAACGACCGACATGAAGGAAGGTGTAGACCTCAATGCTTATCTAGACCCTATCGAACTGCTTAGATGTGTCTCCTTGTGAATGGGGCAGGTGTGCCCCCCCCCTCATCCATGGCTATTCATAGTAGTGCAAGACAGATTAAAACTGGATCAGGACATAGCTGATTTGCAACAGGGCAAGATTGGATCCATGATTATATCTGCAAATCCCCTCCACCTGTGGTGAGCCCTGCAGGATGGAGGAGAATTAGGGGGTGCATAAGACTGCCACTTTTTGAGGCCACTGAAGTCTGAGTGTGTCCAAAAAGTCTCATGGTGTTTGGCAACTGTCACAAATGTTCTAAACCGACAGCAAGAAGAGGTCTTACAAGCGCCTTTCGTGCGTAGGTTCTGTAAGTTGGGGCCCATTCTATTCCGTTTGGGTCCACTTTTTTATCACGCACAAAGAAAACTTCTTGGATCGCACGATATTCATAATCAAAGGAAATGAGATTGTTTGCATTGTTTCTCCACACAGCATGCTAGCGAAAAGTTAGTGGAAGATAAAACTCTAGACTGAGAGAGTATCTTCATAATGCAAAAATAGAGCACTTCTTGCCTCAAATGTTTTGAAATGAAAAGCTCTGTATCCCTTAATCAACTGTGATCAATTAATCAAAGGTCATCATACACAGCAGCACCAGATGCACATGTTGCTCTTCCTCATTTAGCGCATTCCAGAGATACCCATAGACAGAAGAGTGCTGCTGAATGTGAAGGATACTGCACGGAAAATGTTGGTCTGCATCTCCACCTGCACTTAGGCATGCAAGACATGCAGGTGCAACTTCGACTTGGTAGGTTGGTCACAGGTCATTGAACTGCGCCTGTTCTGTGCTGGCAAAACACAATCATACTGTTGTGCAGCATTGCCTCGTGCAGGTTCCTCCACACAGCAGTGAATGTGTTACTGGAGGGCTGTGGGTTGCCCGGCATGTGCAGAAGCACATTTCTCTACCACCCTGAAGAGGATCACTGAATGAAGGCAGAGGCTCCCCAGATAAGAGGCAAGCCCGGGCAAGGTGCTTTCCTGGTGCCCGCTCCCCATCCCCACATGCCCTTCCTTTTCTTCTTAATCCTGGTGGCAGGATTAAGTGGTGGTGGCAGGCAGCCCTGGCCACATGAAATTGAAATATCTTTGTACGCCATGTCTCTAGAAGCAACGTGGCCCAACCATAATGCCCTTGAGCAGGACACGCCCGAAGGCACTGGGATGGGCTGCTTGCGTGTGGCAGGGGACTAGGCAATGGCGTGACTTGCTGGCCACCTGCACCGCCCCGGGAGCACTTTCCTGTGGCAGTGCAAGGCAGAAGAAGGTGCTGCAGGTGCGGTCCAAGGGTTCATGGGGAGCCCCCCGGACTGCAGGGCCGCCGTCGTGTGCCCCACAGCCCATGCTGAGTCGCACCACTGGGTCAGGTGATTGTCTGCAAGAGGCAGCTTTCCTGAGTGAGATTCCACAATGTCACTAAGTACAAAATGGCTTTCATAGTCAGTTAGAAAAATTGCCCTTACCAAAAAGAGAAAAATTTACCACCGTAAAAAAATAAAATCCCCCACACTGTATTCTTCACAGAGCCTCTTAATTAACATTAGATACGACTAGTAATCAGAACTGTTATGACTTGGCATATAGTAATATCCCATTTCCTATATCTCTAGGGTGGTTTGGTTTTAAAATGTAAAGATATATATATATGTGTGTATATATATTTGTAAACTCAGTCAATGAGCCCCACTGAAATCGCTTTCAGAGCCATCAGTATTAGGATTTTGGTAAAAAGCATAATTAGCTGCCTTGAAGGTCCTTCTTGCATTAAAGGATTGTTTCCTCATCAGGTTCAATACTTGGCTGAGTTAGTCCTGCCTTGACTATTGTTAATTTGAAACTGGTATGAAATTGTGATTTCTAACCATCTATAATAATAGACACAAATGATTGCATATGAGAGAAGGGGTGTTTTTGTGTTTTTTTGGATTTTAGGGTGCAATCTTCTGCAAGTATGGACAGTGTGGGAATTGTAGGCCTTTTTTCTGCCTCAACCTGCATAGGATTCCACCTTTAATCTATTGTCTGGGTTAACAGAGCAGTTACATTCAATTGTCTGATAGGTGAGTTCTGCAAGTATGTATTAGCACATGCAAACACACACATTGCATTATTTAAGGTGCTTTCAATAATAATGATAAACAATGCTTTCAGCAAAGTAACAATAAGAATTATATAGTTTCCTTAAATTTAACACCACACACACACACACACACACACACACACACACACACTTCTCCTCCAAGTCACCCGAGAGGACCTGCCACAAATTTAATTATAGTAAACCACACATTCTTGTAGCAAATGGTTCTTTCCCCAACCCAGCGCCCTTGCTTGCCTTGCTTTTGTCTGCTTACTTTCCAAACCAAAGCAATTATTTCTATAGGTATTTATCAAAATCAATGTGTTTAGCAATTATCAAGGTTACAGAAAAGTCCTGTGATGAGCTCAAAGAACCTTACTCCCACCTGTGTGCATATAATTGTAGCCTTAGTTGGCATCTCTTTAAGTCATCGCTTTAAGTACAAGTGACTATTGTCTGGTAAAACCAAAGAAGAGGCCATTTATCTAGCGTCATCAAAGGTGGATTCTGCTTGGGAAATCCAGCTGAGCATTTGGCATGTTTGTTCTCCATGCACTCCCAGAACTCTTGCATCTGAACATTTGTTTTAATGAAGAGAAAGCCCCAAGATGCTGGATGAAAACGTCCTTTCTGTTGACGTGAATGAAGAAGTTCTTGCAGGCACGGAGACTCTGTTCACATGTTAAACCTCTGCCCAAAAGGAGCCAGTGGACTGAAATAGTAATACACAAAATTTAATGTTCCTTAAAATTTAATGGGCAATTAAATTTATAGGAACATTGAAATAATGCAATGTCCGATGAAGAGACAAAGACTCTTTGTCTTTGGACACTATAAGGAAACTATGGCCTCCTTATAATGTCAGGGTGTGTGGACATAGGGGTAGTTTTGCTCCTGCTCCGAAGTCCTCGGAGCTCAGGCATCAGGTTCGAGGCTCTGCCCCACCCCTCTCACAGGCAGTGTGGAAAGAACTACTCCAGCTGATCCCCAAGGACACAACTAAGCCTTGGAGAGGCAGGAAAGGAGCATCCGGGAGGACAGGAAGTGGAGGAGACTAGGTTGCTGGCTTATGCCAGTCCCTATCCATGCCCCAGCCCCCTTTTCTCCCAGTCCTCAGCACTCAGTCCAGGGGGTTGAAAATGTCCACCTAGATAGGATGCATGACATAAGGCATGGCTGCAGCAGGGACACTCTCCCCACCGCCACCCTTTGCTCCATGCATTGGATCGAAGTCGCCTTCCAAGTTCTGTGGCTTCTGTGCATCACTGCAGCCTAAATTACATTTATTATAATGCAATGCTTTACATGGCTACTCAGTAATAAGTCCCATTGGATTCGGTGGGGTTTACCCCCAGGAAAGTATGTATAGGATTGGAGCCCGTCTTATAAGCATTGGGATGAAAATGGGCAACTTTTATGTCTTGTTTTAATATGGCTCCACACACATTTTGACGTCCTGTTTATACATCATGCAATGCAATATATGATTGTACCAACAGCATAGAAATAAGCTATAATATGAGCACTTAGATTTAATAATGTGTCAGTTTTTGACAAGGCACTTTATAGTCCCCAGTAATTTGGGGGAATTTTCAGATGAGAACCATTTTTGTTTTGTTCTACATGTTGAATGCACAGAGGCAAATATTTAATTGTGTTACTAAAAAGCAAGGCCCCTAGAACTGACGCTCAAGATAGAGACATTGGTAAGAGCACTGTCACTTTAAGACAAGATAAAATGTATTCACAGGATTAGGGCTTTAATGCTTGCTACAGATTTGAGGTGGGCTGGGAGCAGAAATGATACGGCAAAAGCAGCTTGCGATGACCCCCTGCAGATTTAGGCTCATCCTGTCCCCACATACGTGCTTGTCCCTTTGGTTGGGGTCAGTATGTGCATGGGAAACACGGCAGAAGGTGCCGTATGCTGCTGTGCCACACAAATAATCCTTTACTCACAATTTTTCCCACTCACTAATAACTTTTCAATGCAGAACTAACTGGTATACTTGTATGTTGAGGATCATCCATTAGAAACTCAAGGATTTGCTTGTGTTGCCTAAATGTGACCTAAGAGGCCTAGATTATTTTCAGTCTGGTGTTCAGTATTGATTGCAATGAACAGACCTACTTTTTTGGGAAAGAAAATAATGGTCAGAATACAACCTTTTTAACTCCAATGTCAATATCAAACCTAGCACGTGCTATAAAAGGGGTTATTTTTGACCCCAGACATATGAAATATGAAAAGGCCCTTTTGTTTACCGGAATATTTCCCTCAGGGGGCTTGAATCAGCATAAAATGGTGATGGTTTTATGGTTTTCAGGTTGCAGCTAGTCCAGACAATTTAAGACTTAATCTTTTCTGAAGCTTGCATGAGAATATTATCTACATCACAACATTTGGCCTATTGACCTATAATCTGCATAAAAAGAGTTTGACCTACAAACTTGAAGCCAGAATAAAAAAGCTTTCCCTTGATGGATTTTCATTCTGTTTCTCAAGGGTTTAGCTTCATCTCTTGGCATTTAAAAGAGACTTGCTGTTAACCTCCCTTTGTGCCTTTGCTTAGAGCCTCTTCGGGGTATAAAAGTAGCACAAAATTATCCTCATGGATAATTTCCTTAGGCAAATTTTTATTTAAAGAAAGAGAACTGTCAAAGTCAGGAGGCTGAAATGTGGGGACATTTTGGACTAGATCTTGTCAGCTTTTGACAATGTCCTAGAAGGCCTGGGTGTAGTTCACATGTAGGTGTAAATTACACTCTGGAAGGCAACGGGAGACCAGCTACCCCACCAGGTGGGATGAGACCACATTCATTTGCTGCCCCAAGAGTTAGACGCCGCTCCAGTATGGATTCATCCCACTTGCTGATCAGCTGCTGTACGAAATGCAAAACCAAGCAGGAGGAGCACAGCCTGTTGAAAGTTTCCATTACAAGGTGGTACCTTCCTGGGGGCTGACAGCACAGATGGGCTGTCTCATAAGATCACTCATATTTGGCCAGTTCATACATACCATATCAGGTAACCTGTGAAGTGGATCATCTCTATAATATGACTTTCTGCCCAAGGTGTTCAGAGCAATTAACTGCTGTGTGCTAAATCTGAATCGGTGGCAAATGCCTCCTGTAACTGCCTTTTCAGAGGTGACTGCTTGACCACTATAAAAAAAGATATTATTTTATACCAGAAATTTGGTTCACCTTGCTACGTTTAGCAGGCCTGCATATTGGACTTTCTTTGTAGGTGCTAGGAATGTCTTTGGTGAGAGTAATCCCACCTGCTCAATCTCAACGCCAAACTCACTGGGGTGCCACTGTACCTACCAAACACCTCAGTGTCAGTCCCCAGTAAATTAACGGAGGGGTGCTTTGATGAAGATAACCGTTTGAGCAGTCTAAAATGTTTGAGAGCATAAACTCCATCTAGCTGTATATTGATTATATCCCTGAAATTAAAAGTCTCAAAAGATTCTAAATCCATTATTTTCCTCCCTTGCAATTTGAAGCGGTCTAACAAAATCTACGTTCTTCATTGTTTTAGTGTGCGGGAAGTAAAATTCCTGTATTGACCAAGTAACAAATAAACATTACATGTAAACATCACCTACTCAAACTCAGCTGGGATCTTTTGCCCAATTGATTTCAAAAAGAAAGCTCACCCAATTTATCAGTCTGATGCCGTCAAAGAGACTACAGGAATCCTCATGTTTGTTTTACGTTTAACGCAAAAAACAGAAGGCTGTTTCTGAATTCCCCTATTATGTTCAAAATTATCAACGTCCTTCCCATAACAATTTCAGCAATCAATATTTTGGGATTCATTGTGACTGGTGAATATTGGAGTGTTTACACATGGTACCAGTTCAGCTAAGCCTGAAGTAGATAGTTATCTGATGGGATTCTCAGAAACCTGTAGGCTGTTCGAAATGGAAATTCTCACATTGCTTCCTGCTCATTTTCATCTTCCTGTTTGTTCACATAGCAAGGTGGTAAGGAATGCATTGAAGTGGATGCTGGTGCCAGCTGGTTCACGGGCTCTCCTTCACCCTGGGGCATATCCTTCGCTGTAGGGGCATGCAAGCGGTGAGCATCGAGCATTTCCAGCAACAGATCGTAAAGTGGAACCACATTCTTGCACTTCATGTTGTAGAGGTGCTCCATTCCCTTATTGCTGTAGATTCCCATAAAAATAAAATGAGATACTGTTAATACAGCAAGACCAATCTTCCAGCTATAGTTCTACTGCTAGTCAAGGTGAAACTGCCCACTTCAGAAGGCATTTATTGCAAACAGCTGCAGGTTGTCCAGTAATAATGATGGTGCTATAGAATAATGATTTTGCCATATATAGGGTTTATCAATGGATGGGGTGAAGGGTTGCCTCAGGAACCAACATGTTTTAAGATGTCCCTACAAGGTACTTTAAGGCCTATGCAGAAGTTATACATTTCTGTCATGGAAAAGTTATCATTTCCTGGATTTAATCACAGAATAGTAGAGTTGAAAGGGGTCATGAAGGTCATCAAGTCCAACCCCCTGCTGTTGCAGGACATCACATTACACCATCCCACTCAGATGGCTGTCCAGCTTCTTTTTGAATGTCTCCAGTGTGGGAGAGCCCACCACCTCTCTAGGCAGCTGGTTCCACTGTTGTATTGCTCTGACAGCGAGGAAGCTGTTCCTGATGTCCAGCCTGAACCTGGGTTGTCGCAACTTGAATTGATTATTTCATGTCCTACACTCTCGTATCAGCAAGAAGAGATCTTGACCTTCCTCTTTGTGACAGCCTTTGAGGTACTTATAGAGAGATAATCCAAACATTAATAGATAGTCCAACATTTTTTCTGGTCTTTTTGCTGTTGTAAGAGGTGTTTTGTTTCTGGATAATCACAGTGCTAGTCAGGTATGAACTATAAGCACTCAGAAGGGAACAGAACACATCGTCTCGTCAAACATCCCAGCTCATCATCTCCAGGTGAGGCCAGGAAGTCTCCTGCCTGCTCCTGCCAGTTAGTTTCAACAGTGCTGAGCTAGAGGGACTAATGATCGACTTCAAATAAGGCTCCGGTGATCCTAAATACTTGGCATTGTAACAGGGATTCTTGACATGATCACAGAGCCCAGCTATTTCCTCACAGCCCTTCCTATATCTTAAAGCATCAGTACTATTTCTCTTCCTGTTGTCATTACTGTTATCTAGATTTCTAGGCTGCCATCCAGAATTGACAAAACAGAGTAGAACATACTTGGAAATAAAAAATGAATAGGCAAACCATACAACAATTCAATACCCATATCATTAAAATATCAAATAAGAAAGCAACAGCAGATGAAACTTAAGTTAAAAGTACAATACAGTAAAAGTAACCAAATGCAGATTGGGATTAATGGATGGATAAATAAATAGAACATTAGAATCCTCCTAGCAGTCAGCAAAAGGACACTGCAAAAAGGGCCCTGTAGTACTTGGCCATCTTACTCGTCAATCTCATCAGATTGCAGGTAGTTCTTCAGATAGCCAGGTCCTAAACTGCTTAGGATAGTGCTAGCACATCATATTGGATCTGGAAACTAAGAGGTTGCCAATGTAACTGGTAAAGCATAGGTGTAGCATAGTCATAATGACTCATTTCCAGAGGTGTTCTAACTCCTGCATTCTGTGCCAGTTGTAGTTTCTGGGTTGTCTCCAAAGGCAATCACGGGAATTAATATGTATCAGAGTAAGAGATAATCAAAGAGTGCATTATTAAAGGAGAATCAGATTTCTCTATATAGGGCTGCAGCTGGCGAACCAGCTAAAGCTAGGAAGAAGTAGTTCTAGTGCCTGATGCGACCCGCACCTCCCTGGGAAATGCCAGATCCAGGGGAACTTCCAAGCTACATATCTTGTTTTTTTAGTGAGACAATAAAACAAAGTGAATGCGAAGGAACAAATGCAACTGAACTGGTTCTATTGAAAAATGAATATGGCTTTAAAAATGGAAGCAAAAAAATTTTCCCATTGCACACTCCAAAGCAAATGCAAACAATCCCATATAAATTTTGTGAATGGCCAAAGAAATTCTTATTTCCGCAGTTTTGAAGCACAAGTGGATGTTGTTATTAGATGACTGTGTCACTGGGGATCTCAGACATTTTTCTTGAAAACCTGTCCTGGATTGTCAACTCTAATTTGAACAATCAATGAAGCAGAGTATATTATGAATTCTCCATCATATAGTGCTTGCATTAACTTGTGCAGTGTAGTGCAGTTATCATCCTCATCAACAATTATATATTTTAAAGTGCAGAGAAGGGCAGCATAAATGATCAAGGGTTTCAAGCAACTCCCCTATGAAGAATGCCTACAACTGGGATTGTTGAGCTTAGGAAAAAAGAGTAAGAGGAGACGTGAGGAGGCAATCAAAATCATTCATGGTGTGGCAGAAGCCACAATGCTAGAACTCAGGATCATCTCCTGAAGCTGATTAGTGGGGGATTTAGGACGGATACTTCTGCACACAGCACAAAATTATGGAATTCACTAACCTAGGAAATAGTGATGGCCACCAATCTGGATGGTTTTAAAAGGGAACTGGACACATTCATGGGGGAGGAGGCGATCAACGGCTACTAGACCCTTTGTGTAGGCTATGCGCTTCCTTCTGCTATCTGAGGCAATGCCGGTTGTGGAGGAGGCTGGGCATGAAGAACTCGTCTCTGCATCCTGCTTGAGCGATCCAATGGGCAGCTGGTTTCCCATGGTGTGAACCGAATGCTGGCGGGGATGGACGATTGCTCTGATCCCACTTGGCTTTTCTTCTATTCTTATGTTCTTTCAATTGGTTTACTTCTTTGTCCTTTGTTATTGTTGCTATTTCAAATGTATTTTAAAGGCTGAGTAGTGTCAAAAAGCCAACTCTGTATTTGCTCACCTCATGTGCCTGATGTGGGAAAGGATGAGAAGGAGCTGAGCCAATCGCCTGTGCTGCTGCTGCAAATTGAGACCCGATTTGGCCATCAAATGTATCAAAGTATCGGTGATTTTATCTAGAACACGATGGATGTGCTCTTTTTCTTCCAGTGATTTTAATGTGCTGGAAAGAAAGGTGTAGACACCTGTGGGAGAAGACGCAAGACAACATCTGCATCAGGATTCCAGTATGCAGTCTTTGTGCACTGAGGGGTGTATCCACACTAAAGACTTAGGCCATAATTCTATAACGCACTTCCCTGAGGATAAATCCCACTGACATGTACTTCTCCATGGAGGTTTGCACAGCTAACTAAATTAACCATAATTTCTACTTTCCAAGAAATTATAGTTGGGTGTTTGTGTGTGCATATATATATGAGCGAGCCCTATGGGGCTATGTACCAATGTTTTTATATATATGCAGAGTGAGACAGAGAGTGTTCTGATACTTATCAGTAAGTAGAATTAAGCCAAGGAAAAATGAACCCCTAAAAGAAACTCATGAAACCCAAATGCAGTTCAGGTTGCTTCTTGTCTGCTCTTGTTGTTGCAGTTACCTGAAGGAAGGAAAGAGTTTAGGCATCAGGTAACAGGTAATTCACTCTCAGCACCACCCCAAACTTCAATGATCAAGATTCTTTGTGGGAATCCACAGTTCTTAAAATATTTAAGATTATTTAATGTAATCTTCGAGTGCACACAGAGCTTGAGAATTGAGCCACAACGCTATAAAATGCTGTGTAGAGTTATTGGTCTAAACTCAATCCAGGAAGAGGACTTGGTGTGGGGTATCTAGTGATCATCATACAGTGTTAGGGCTGGTCCAAGATACTTTTCTCCTGCCTAATGTGAAGGACAAGATGGTTTCCCCACAATCCCATCCATGGAACCTAACCAGACAGACAACTGATGTTTGCTTCAACATGCATGGTTGGATAGTGCTTTTCTGCTGAACCCAAGGACAGCATTGTAATTTTGGGGACACCGGGCAGGTTATGTCACACCTGCCTCTCTGTCTTCCATCACCCCAAATCTCCTCCTCATCCCTCATGTCTGTGCCCAGAGCCAGCCACGTCAGTCTACCTACTGGGAGGGTCAGCCCTAAGGCAGACCCAAGTAGCCTCTCCATACATTCATGGACCAGTTCACCACTGTATGGAAAACCACTTATTTGAAAGGAAATATTACCCTGCCTTATTATTTTGGAAGGAAAACTGGAACTAGCCCTCTGCCTTAGCTTTCACTCAGTTGAAATGTAATGTTTGAATCAATCTTTCACCCTGACCACAGAGAGGGAGGGAGAGAGGGAGGGGGAGGAGGGGGAGGAGGAGGAGGGAGGAAAGAAAAAGAGAGAAACCAAGCTAAACTTGGATTGCTGGATATAAGACAGTCACATTGCCACATGCACTTCATCCCTTTATCGGATTATCAGTATTTTGGCCCTGGCAGTTTGTTTCAGTCTTTGCAGCTGTGGTGCTTGGACATCAATTTTAGAGAATTCCTATGAAAGTCGGTCGCACTGTTTTACAATATATGAGATACAGTTTTATAGCCAAATTCACAATGCAGTTACATCTACGTTCTGGGTTTATACTCATCTTTTTCCTCATTGTAGAGGACAATTAAACATGCTGAAAATCATGACCTTCAGTTTAACTTGGTAAACTGAGTTGTTTTTCCCCGAAGCAGCAGTCCAGCTGGGCAATGCTGGGAATTGTAAGACTGTTTCCTGTATAGACATGCATAGGATTGTATCCTTAGTATTGCAGTTCAGTAGGGAATAGAAGCTCTTGGGCTCACTGGGCCTTCCTTTTCGGTAAATTGTAAGCCCAATTGTCCCTTGGGCACTCAAGCTGACAAAGCCTGACTAACTCTTTTGTGACTGAAGCCCTTAAATCCAGAGCTACCTGAGCGTAGTCTGAAGAAGGGTCTTCAGGTCCTGAAGGTCTGAAGAGTAGTCTGCTGCTTGCCTTTGCTGTTGTCCTTTGAAACACAGCTTTGTTTCATAATTAAAAGCGTTAATTTCATTCCTCCACAGTGGTCAACAGGTAGATACTATTTTGTTACTGAAATTGTGAAATGCTGGAGCCTCCCTTGCAGCAAGAAACAGACTGCTGTCCTAACATCTGTGGAAAATTTCACAAATGGTGTCAACATCCTACACTTTGCCACTGCAAACACAACTGGGAGGAGGGATACCAGTCGTGCCCCATGGTGCGACCCACCATTGTTGTTAGTCACGAAGTCGTGTCCGACTCATCACGACCCCATGAACAACATTCCTCCAGGCCTTCCTGTCCTCCACCATCCCCCAGAGTCCACTTAAGTTCACACTTCAGTGCTTCAGTGACTGCATCCAGCCACCTCATTCTCTGCCACCCCCCTTCTTCTTTTGCTGCCAATTGTTCCCAGCATTAGGCTCTTCTCCAGTGAGTCCTTTCTTCTCATTAGGTGCCCAAATATTTGAGTTTCATCTTCAGTATCTGGCCTTCTAAAGAGCAGTCAGGGTTGATCTCTGACTGGTTTGATCACCTTGCAGTCCAAGGGACTCGCAGGAGTCTTCTCCAACACCACAGTTCAAAGGCCTCAATCCTTCGGTGCTCAGCCTTCCTTATGGTCCAGCTTTCACAGCCATATATTGCAACTGGGAAAACCATAGCCTTGACTATACACGCTTTTGTTGGCAGGGTGATGTCTCTGCTTTTTAGCATGCTGTCTAGATTTGCCATAGCTTTCCTCCCCAGGAGCAGGCGTCTTTTAATTTCTTGGCTGCAGTCCCTGTCTGTGGTGATCTTGGAGCCCAGGAAAATAAAATCTGTCACTGCCTCCATTTCTTCCCCATCTATTTGCTAGGAAGTGAGAGGACTGGATGCCATGATCTTAGTTTTATTACTGTTGAGTTTCAAGCCAACTTTTGCGCTCTCCTCCTTCACCTGCATCAAGAGGTTCTTTAGTTCCTCTTCACTTTCTGCCATTAGAGTGGTATCATCTGCATATCTGAGGTTGTTGATATTTGTCCCAGCAATCTTAATTCCAACTTGTGATTCATCTATCACTGTCTTTCTCATGATGTGCTCTGCATATAAGTTAAATAGGCAGGGCGACAGTATACAGCCTTGCTGAACTCCTTTCTCAATTTTGAACCAATCAGTGGTTCCATGCCCAGTTCTCACTGTTGCTTCTTGACCTGCATATAGGTTTCTGAAGAGACAAATAAGATGGTCTGGTACTCCCATCTCTTTAAGAACTTGCCACAATTGGTTGTGATCCACACAATCGAAGGCTTTAGCATAGTCAATGAAGCAGAAGTAGATGTTTTTCTGGAACTCCCTAGCTTTCTCCATGATCCAGCGTATGTTGGCAATTTGATCTCTAGTTCCTCTTTGAAATCCTGCCTGTACTTCTGGTAGTTCTCGGTCCACATACTGCTGGAGCCTAGCTTGTAGGATTTTGAGCATCACTTTGAATTGTGTCCATCTTGGCGGGTCACATAGCTAAGTTAACAAAATGTGACCCGCCAAGATGGACACAATTCACCAGCAGAGCTGCCACATCCCCCCAGCCCAGCCCCTTGCCACAGACAGGCAGGCCAAAGGAGTTCTATAGCCAGGCCCTGGTGGGGGGCCACCATACTCAGACACCTTGGGTTTGATGTGTCACTCATTGTGGGAACACTGTTAAAATACCTAAAAGAATGCAAACATGGCCATGTGTTCCTGGCCACAAATGTTGTGTACCAGTGAGACCAGGCAATGTCCCCAACCAACTTACTAATACACACACAGAGAGAGAGCACATTCAAATGTTAAAATAACAGAAATCTGTAGAATTACCTTAGATATGGAAACTGTGGCCTAGCAAATGTTCTCAGAGCTCAACTCCTGTCAGCCCCAATCAGTATGACCAATGGTTAGGAATGATGGGAGTTGGAGTCTAGCAACATCTGGAAGGCTACTGTTTTCCCAAACCGTTCTTCCAGTGTTGGGACAGGGCCTAGGACAGAACTACATGTAGTTTGACTCAAGTAGCCCCCGTTCCCCACTACAAAGCTCATCACACAAATCTCTGTGGACACTCTTTGCTGGTGGTGACAGTGTTTTGTTCTCATGCACAACCATTTGTGTAAGAAGTTTGGGAAGTCACTACAGAGAAACCATTCTCTTGTGGTAACATGAAGGGTGTCCCCAAAAGCAAGGGAGACTGGCAACTCTCAGTCACTGGGTCTCCTCATCCATCGCAGCTTTTCTTTTTTACTATATAGGAGCTATCCATGGTCCTCCATCTTGGAGAGCCTATTTTGGGGTGAAGTTCAGCACCACAGATAGCTCCTTCAAAGTTCAAAAGCCTCCCCTGCTGGAGAGGTTTCTGAGCAGCATCGGCATCTGAGCCACCCTTGGCTACATTTGCAGGTTCCTTGATCATGGGCTCAGATTCTAGCCAGAGATTCAATGTTTTTTTCTCTCTTTCTACTTCTCTGAGTTGTTTTAATCCAATCATCCTCAGCACGTATCGGCTGGTTCCATGCAATGCTGACTTATTCACAATCCATCCCTTTCTCTTACAGTGCTTCTCAAAATAAAGTACGATTCATGAAGAACGTTGTGTGTTGTTGTCAGCTAATGCTAGATTTGGCATTATATCTTGTGGAAATTAATTGAGGTTTCTTTTACTAAGATCTGTAGAGACTGTGCAAAATGCTGATGCCTCAATTACATTTGTCACCTGTTGCTTTGACTACAGCAGCTCACTCCATGATTCAATCCACAGAGAATAAGATAACAAGAATACAATAAACAGTGAACAAAAACAAATAAGATGCTACACCATCCTTCCCCAACCTGGTGCCCTGCAGATGCATTGGACTAGGACCTCCATCATCCCCAGGCTATAGCACCTCTGACCAGGTTAGCTGGCAATGATGGGAGTTGCTGTCCAATTCATCTGGAGAGCACCAGGCAGGGGAAGACAATAGAATGGTCCAATTATTGCCTTAATTAAGGAGAACGCTGGGATCAGAATTTGGACAACAAAGGGAACATAGGCTGAAATCATGGAGCAGGAAGCAAATGCCAAGGCTGCTTTTACAGAAATGTTGACACAGATTCTAACGTAAGCAAACAGAAAGAAGGTCGTGGAAGGTAAGCTTCCCATCTCTTCCTCCCCATTGTTTTCTTTCATCTGTCCAAAGCTCTCCAGAAGACCTCTACCGAACTTGAGGTCATTCCTTCATCCCCCAGCCATGCTCCCTGTCCTATCTAAATTTTTCTGGAAACCCCCAGGACCACCAGAAAGTCAGCTGCTGGGTGGGGGAACATTCCTTCTGTAGCCCTTATTCAGTTGACTTATCTTAGGATCCAGGCTGGAGGATGCGCAAGGCGATCATGTTGGGGGGGGCGGGGAGAGAGAATTTATACTGTGGTATGATGCTCAAGCAGTCATTGTTTATTTCTAATTTGTTTGATTACTGTGAGTATATGCCATCTAATTCTCTGAGTGGCATACACCAGTTTAAAAACATAACATCCAAAACAACAGTAGAATAATGATGGGAAAACAGCACATAATAGAACTGGAGTAAGATCAGCAGTGAAGCGCACAAATGACACAGCGCATAAGAAAACAATGTCAGTTCTTCAGTATTAGTTTCTGAGTGCTGCTTTCTCTTTGACCTTGCTATGTGTTTGGACCACTGTGCTCCTAAGCCTCCACACTGATACTTGCTACTGACATCACTTTTGGATCGGTAGCTTTAATTGATCCCCTGGCTTTTGACCTTGGCTGCACTGCTGATCTTACTGGGAACCTGCCCCCGCCACCCCCCCTCCCCCATGTGTCTGGTTAAAACTGCTGCTTTCTCAATTTAGTATTCTGCCATTTACTACACTAGCTCTCTGCTTGGAAAAGAGCCTGGACTCTGTTTGCAGACCCCACTGTTGGAGGGCTCCCATATGGCTCACATTGGGCTGTGGGAAAATGCACAGTGGGCCGAGTTGCCCTCAACCCAAGCTGAGAAGTGCCCCAAATGATGGCCTCTAACTGTCCCAAGGTAGTGTGCAGGCAGCACCCAAAGTTCCTGAAATCTCATACAGGGGAGAGCTGTGTGGCTCCTGACCTTTGACGCATGCACACAGCTGCTTTGACTTGCAATGGTCCAGCACCTTGAACATTTCAGAACAGAAGCAGTACCAACAACAAATCTGCCCCTGGAGTTCCCCAGGGGACAAGCATATCTCACCAGAATTGAGTAGGACGATGGATTTAAGGCACACAAATTCTTCCCCCTGGACATTCATCATTCGAAAGCGAGAGGAGGTTGCCAGTAGCATGTCGAATATTTCCACCATCCCCTCCACACACTTTCCTTGATTCCTGCAAATACAAATCAGAGTCCGAATGTTGTGCATGAGAAGGTGATCAGTATCTGAAAAGGGAGAGCTGAGGCCTCCACAGACCATGAGTATAACTAGGCTTCTAGGGCCAGGGATCACAACAAGTAAGGGGAAGAAGGTATATGTGTATGCACGAAAGAAATCAACATGATGCAAGGTTCAGTCAGAAGAACAGTGAAGACGGCCAAAAATTCCCAGGCCTGCTTATGTCCACCAGTGACTGGATCCATCCAACTACAAAACTTCTTATTATGGCTGTTGTGTAAAACAGAAACACTGCAACAGTGTCAGAACACTTCTTTATCAGGATGAAATGCTGAATACAAGCCACAGTGACCACAAAGTTACTGGGTACATACTTAAGAATTGTTCTGTCTTAGATCACTTGGAAATCAGTTTAATTTTTCATGAGACTATCTGGGTGCTATCAACCAGTATTCAAATAAAAATAATTTCTTATATCAAGTTACGCAGCCTGGTCTAAATCCATGATGTCAAAAGTTTACTCCTTGGCAAAGAAATTGCAAACAGAATGCCAGTAAGTTTTCATTCAAGTAAACATGAAAATGGAAAGGAAATGGATTGGATCCAGATTGGCTGGTGCAAGCGGAGTTCTTCCCCAAGGCAGTCCATCCACTCCACAAAACACACACACACACACACACACACACAGAGGTTACAACAGAGCACACTATAGTGTAGAGGACACAGAGGAAGGAGGAAATTAGCCTCCTTATTTGTGGAATTCCCCTCTCTCAGCCCCCTACACCACACCCCACATAATTTAGCATGTTTCGCAGACCTTCTGCAGTATTTTCAAGGGGCTGGAGGAACTACTAAAGTGAGGATGAGGTAAGAAAATATGTTTTAACCAGCCCCATGGCATCTGGGTCCAAACCCCCATGTATTTCTAAATACTTTCTAAACACTTTTAGAAGTGGTTTATAAATACTTAAACATTTCTAAATATATTGGCAAAAACTTGCTGATGTCAAATTGTCCAAAAACTAGCATTTACGTAATGTTGGAAAACTAGGATTCATGAATAGCTATAAATTATATAATAAATTCATTCATCTACAAAACAATTTTAGGAATTATGCGTCCAAGGAAAAGAAACCTCAAAATATGCTACAGGTTTTTCCATCTTATTTCTCAATCAATCCTTTGCACCGACATAGCATATGACTTTCTCTACCTTGAGTACTCCTGATCTGTTACTCATGGAAGTCTGTGGGTCCTTTACACAACGTTATCATCCACCAGAAACTCTCTTATAATTTCCAGCCATCTTTGTGAGGCTGGATATAATTTTTTTATTACACTGGGAAGCCCTATCAAGTGTCCATGTAGTTTTATATCCTAGCACCACCTTGTGGTTGTGTGAAAGAAGATACAGAATAGCAGGGAAAGAAACCCCCTGGAAAACACTTATGTAAAGGGTGCCTTCTTTTTCCTGTGAAAGAAACAGAAGAAGAAGCCTCAGTGTAGCGATGGGTTTACTATTCCTTGTGGAGAAGTCCCATCTTCTGAAGTCACCAAGCCAACACTCTTCCTTTTGTTCTAACTGGTAGAGCAGTCTGTGTTCTGAGACTGAGGGCCATGATGGAATTGCCTAGAACAGGATCCTGTATTTGCAAATGTCACCTGTTAACGGTTTGCATACCACAAAAGAGAGTACAGCTATCACAGTTCTGAATTTACAATTTCTGTAATACCAGGCACATACTAAGGAGTTAGCTTCTGGTTAATTTGAATTCTGATCAACCATTTTTGCATTTCTTCAGGTCAACTTCACCTAAAGAAATATTATAAACAAGCCTCTTTTGAACACGACTGGAGATCAAGATCAGAAGAAAAGCCAACGTAGTGCATTGTTCTGTTGTCAGGATGGCCAGCTAAATGCTGTAGGAAGGCCGCAAGCAACAGCATTCACCCATTTGTGTCCCCCCGCAACTAGTATTGAGAAGGTTCTTGGGCAAGATATTCTCCATGGCTCCCTTCCCTTAGTGAGTCTGCTTTTCCACCTGCTACAGCCCCTTGTCCCCTCTTTCATCACTGCAATCACATGGTTGTTTCAGGAAGAGAATCAATGAGCAGTAGCCCTTGGCATCTACTGCTCCTTCTTCTGACCACCACCATTATCTAGGCTATAGCAACAAGTTGCAATGACGTTCATGATCACACATTCTGTAAGAGTATTTGTCTTCTGGGCAGGGGTGGGGGGAATTCCCCGTATACCTTGTACACACTCCATAAATCTTATAAAACTTTCCATTTTCCCTTTTTCCTACATTAGAAAGCCCAAATGTTAAGAGCTTCCCCTATAGATTGCATAATAAATTATAACGCCCTAACAAAATCTTTACAAAAAGTTTTGATAAGCAGAACACAGCACATTTCTTTGCAAGACCTTAGAATGCTCATTCTTAGCTAAAGCTAAAAGCAAAACCTGTCTACCCCATTTCTTCCTTTCAGTCTATTGTCACCATTGTGATTTTTATAGTAATACATAGATATCTGGTGGAATGCTTCCCCCTGCAACAGGCAGTGGACCTTGGAAGCCTGATTCATGTACACGGACGATAAGCCCTTGCCTCACCTGAAGGTAACCATGCCAAGACTTCCTGACTTTGGAACTTAGCTTCCTGAAAAGCTTGTTTCTTCTGCATGCTTGTTTACCAACTAAGTGCTGATGGCAGGCTTAGTATAGTGCAAGCTGGCTTTCCAAGTACTGTCACAAAAGTCACTCAAAGAATTGCAAAACCACAGCCTACATCTACAGAAACAAACAAGAGGAGCTGGTCAATTTCAAGATGAATTCAGAAATTCTTCCTATTTTTCACATAACCATTGGAGAGGACTATCAAATTGCCAAGAATGTGGATGTCAGAGCTAGGCGGTGCTTCTAAACATGCCAACCTTGGCTGAAGGATTGAACTTGTCCTGCAAGGAAGCAAAGGCTTGAAACTGTCATGCGACCAAGTAGATGGGATAAAGTCCAAAGATTATTAACAGCCTAGTCTTCTTAATGAAACATGTCTGCCCCTTATTGTGGTAAGCCCAGGATCAATCACCCTTCACCAGTTTGCGCTACTGGGTAGAATGGGAGCATGGAGAGTTTTGCATGTACTATTGAGCCTTCTTGCCCTCAATTGCCAACTGTTGGCTTTTGAACCCTGCTTCGCCAACACCAACATAGTTTCCTTTGGAAACAGCTTAGCAAAATCTAAAGATAAATCCCTTCTACGCACTCTCTCAGGTGGAAACTTCACCCAGTTCATTGCATGTTCTAGTTTTCTGGTGGTCAAAAGCAGGCTGAAATATTTTAACTGCACACTTTGAGAAGACAATAGTTGAGCAAAGAACAGTCAAAGACTGAAACCAATATGTAAAGTAAGTTACCTTTTTGAAGATGGTTTCTGCTGGAGGCCTCTGCCTATGGGCTGTTTTTTTACAGAATTCTTTCAAACTATTATTTGGAGGATAAAGATTAGGATTCCTCAGCATGGCCTGACAACCAAAGATGTTTCAATGTGGCACTCACCATCAAAAAATAATAAAAATAAAATCCAAGTTTATACTGCTTTTCTTTTTCAGATATGCTCTTGAAGTCATGTAGAACTATGTTACACAAAGATAACTTTGGTGACATGTATATGTCTTCACATGGACTGGGAAACTGTGGTCTGGATTATCACAGTTATCTATTGCATATCACAAGCACACACCTGTTCCTATGAATGCATATATAGCAGCTACTGCACAATCTGAGAGCTAGAAAATGAATTTAAATTAGAGTAGGCAAAAAGATTAGATAGTATTTATTGAATTATTGAATTATTCTTGGATAAAATGAAAGATTCATTTTTAATTTACTAATGTTCTTCTACCCAGACCAAAAAGCATCATGCATTATGAATAGAATGAGAGCTTTTTCACAGGTCCTTACATGGATACCTCTTCAGCCCCATTCAGGCATTCTCAAACCATGCATTTGAGAATGCATTCAGGCATTCTCAAACCATGGGTAAAATTAACACCTCACTCCAGCGGTATTTCATTCCAGAAAACAGGCTTCAAATTGCATGGAAACCCTACACAGACAGGAGAGGTTATTATCTTCAGAAAGTTGTGACACAAAAATGACAGAGAACGTGGGGTTACCATGTGCCCCCTTTTGGTGTATTTACATTTCTAAACAGGGTTTTCCATGTATAAACTTTATGATAAAAGCATCAGTAAAAGTACTTCAGGACCAAATGTATTTTTCTGAAAACTTCTGTGATGTGAAGCTTTCTCCCCACAACCTTAACTTTATAATATTGCTTTCTAGAAGTTGCTCTGCCAGGAAAAAAACAATTTAATTGCGTTCCATAAAATTGGTGTTCCATACAGGGACTATACATAGGAAATGTGTCTTGGGTTAGCCGGCCATGTAGGTTCTTACATTGTTTCTAGGTCTGCTTTAGGCAACAAAACAAGAGAAAAATTGTTGTAACAACCGTAGAAATGTATGTAGAAAGCTTTGGCATGGTGAAAGTCAACATGAAATCGATGTCAAAAAACACACAGAAGGGAAATTGGTTCTAAAACACAAAAGTGACAAATTGTTTGGTTTGAATGAGGTATTTGAAAAAAATGCACAACTTCATCTTTAAAAAAATGTAAGAGTGGAATAGCAACCCTCCAAGCTGTCATTTGGTGGTGCTAAGCTCACCAACAGGGCTACTTTGTGTGAAATAGAGCTAGCAAACAGTCAGAGGTTCATAGGACAATGAAAGAGAACAAATGAGATGCTTCCTTGATAATCTCTCTCCACCGCGAATGAAAAGCATACTAACCAAAGAAAATATTTCCTCAGATGATGAGAAAATAGATGGTGCTCCATCTGTAGGTGTATGATGTGCATGTTATTAAAGACCACAACCCACAAGACAGAGTAGAGAAATGGTTTTGGCTTGCTGTCCTTCTCCATGA